TCCCATATCTATTACAATTAGGCCGTAGTAACAAAAATCCAATTGACACAATTGAGGCCTAAGGGAGACGAATTAAACAAAAGCCCAAATGGTCAAAAATCCGATTGCAGAATGATGGAATCAATCAACACCCGCCGGCCACAGATTCTTGATTTGGTTATATATACATCATATGTATATATATATAGATTATTGATTTGGTTTTATATACATCATATGTATATATATATCCTAGAAGATTCTTACTTTCTCTCACACACAGTCACAGGCACAGTAACAATTCGTCATCTATGGCTCCTTCAACACCAAGACTAGTAGTACCTGTAGACCTGAAGAAGAAGCCATGGGAACAAAAGCTTCCCCTCCATAACCGTTGGCATCCTGAGATACCATCGGTTGCTGAGGTGAAAACTGGGGAATTTTTCAGGATAGATATGGTGGATTGCACTGGAGGGGCCATTAAAGATGACGATTCTGCTACTGATGTTAAACACGCGGACCATTCAACTGTAATACAATATGACATATGTGATCAAGTTCCATTTGATTTGATGAAACGAAAAAGAAAGAAAAAAAGCCATTGACTTTGCTGAAAAACTGATTTTCAGGTGCATTATTTGAGTGGGCCGATCAGAGTTGTTGATGAGGAAGGAATTCCGGCGAACCCAGGAGATCTTCTTGCAGTTGAGATATGCAACTTGGGTCCTCTTCCTGGTGAAGAATGGGGTTTCACGGCGATCTTTGACAGAGAAAACGGTGGTGGTTTTCTTACTGATCATTTCCCATGTGCCACTAAAGCTATTTGGTATTTTGAAGGAATATATGCTTACTCTCCCCATATTCCAGGTGACTGAATTATAAAAGCTTTCATTTAAAACAAACAAACTACACAAGTGTTTGATGTTGATCGAATTAACAGGTGTACGGTTTCCGGGTTTAACTCATCCTGGAATAATTGGAACTGCACCTTCAATGGAGCTACTTAATATATGGAATGAAAGAGAAAGAGAGCTGGAAGAAAATGGTCTAAAATCATTCAAGTTATGTGAAGTTTTGCATTCAAGGCCATTAGCAAACCTGCCATCCACAAAAGGATGCCTTCTTGGCAAGGTATGAATGATTTGAGAACGATTATAAGTAGCAAACAGTTGGTAAATGAAGCCTTGATTGATGTTGTAGATTCCAGAAAGAAGTCGGGAATGGGAGAAGATTGCTAACGAAGCTGCAAGAACGATTCCCGGAAGGGAAAACGGAGGGAATTGTGACATCAAGAATCTAAGCAGAGGTTCCAAGATTTACCTTCCGGTGTTTGTGGAAGGAGCTAACTTTAGTACAGGAGATATGCACTTCTCACAAGGCGATGGTGAAGTTTCGTTTTGTGGGGCGATCGAGATGAGTGGTTTTCTTGAGCTCAAGTACAATTCACTATCTCATATATCTGGTTTTTTTCTATTATAACATTTAGACATATTTAGCATCCGATTTGTGTTGTAGTGTTTTGTTTCAATTTGGGGTTGTTTGTTATTAGATGTGAGATCATAAGAGGCGGGATGAAGGAATACTTGACTCCAATGGGACCGACTCCTCTTCATGTTAATCCGATATTTGAGATAGGGCCGGTAGAGCCAAGATTCTCGGAATGGCTCGTATTTGAGGGAATCAGTGTCGATGAGAGTGGAAGACAACATTACCTTGATGCGAGTGTTGCTTACAAGCGTGCGGTTTTGAATGCAATTGACTACCTTTCCAAATTTGGATACTCGAAGGAACAGGTTAGGATTAACCAAACCAAGCTGATCCAATATATATCACATCTCGAGAGATATTCAAATACAAACCCTCTAATTAGTAGAAACCATACAAACCAATCTCAAATGTTTATCTAATTTAATGAATATATGGTTCAATAAATATGTCGATTGTTTCTTAATATAAAACGTTGATTATAATGAAAGATCTCTGATAATCTTCCATAAATATCCATACCATAATAAAAGAACCTTTGGTTTGTATGGTTTGCATGAATAACATGATTTGTATTTGAAACTTCTTTTCTCATATGTGGTTTGAAGGGTGACGTTTTGAATTCATCAGGTGTATCTTTTACTGTCATGTTGTCCGTGCGAAGGGAGGATTTCAGGAATAGTCGATGCTCCAAATGCTGTTGCAACACTTGCTATTCCGACGGCCATCTTTGATCAGGTATACCAGATATCGATCGGTCTGTCTTCAATGTCTCTTTTCCGATATTAAATTAGTTGGCAGATTAAAGCTAGATATGTGTTTGAAAAACTGAAACATATCGTTTCTTAAATGCAGGATATTCGACCAAAACGTAACAAGTTGCCAGTAGGACCGCGGGTGGTGAGGAATCCAAATATTCCAAGATGTAGTTATGACGGAAATTTACCCATCACAAAAAACCCTGGTGCAACAGGAAGTTAATATAAATATGGTACCACTGAAAAAAAAAAAAATATATATATATATATATATATATATATATAGTTTGTTCAAATGAGAATGCGGTTAACTTGTGAAAATGTGAGAAGTTTCAAGATCACATATGGATATATATGATACGAACACTTAATTATATATGATTAAAAACAGGTTGCATTAACCAACATATAGCAGACAACCTTCCTTACGACGTCCATTTTTTTGTTTGGATGTGTTTAATCATATATGATTAAGTATTCATATCAAATTTAATCATATATAATCTTAAAACTTCTCGTCTTCTTACAAATTGATGCCTTTCTTACTATGGATTCTATTGTAAACACAATTTGAATTTTAAAGTTAAATAAAATCCAATTGATATATTGGCAATTAATGTAGGATATTGAATTCTCATGTAGTTGCACTTACTTTTTAGTTCATTAAAAGAAGAAAAAGCTTTGTTGCCATTTCTTGATAATGGTGGCCTGGTGGGTCCCAACTAAAAAGATATACCAATCCACTGAAGTTTAATCCATTATAAACATCACCTGATGAAGAAAAAAAATGTATGCCAAATTTTCTTATATATAATTATTATATACTTTAAAAAGGTGGAAACTCGTTATTTTGCCGACGACATAAGGTGTAGGTTAGGTCATAAATATGAATGCGACAATGTACATAGATGGTTCGATGAAACAGAAAGGGGATATCCCCTCCCCTTCGAAAATATGGGCTCGTTTTCGAGATTCTGGCTCATCTCTAGATCATCAAAATAAAAACACATTTTATTCGGTATATTGTACAAACTTTTAAACATGTTTTTTATTTACAAAAATGGTTTATACAGAAAACTCAAAATGTTAATAAGCTATTGTTTATGTAGGATGTTTAAATTCATAAATTTTGATAATGACCGAGCAGGTGCATAATCGACGAACTATGCAAAGCAACGAGAGATCAATGTAGAAACTTTTGATCTCTCGTAAAAACCATGAGAATCCCTTAAATTATATTGAATCGTTTTTATTTTATTTGATCAAAAAAATGACAAAAACATGTTAATATAGATGCATTATCTGTGGAGCTCCGATTGCTGGACACTAATCTTAACATCCCTTGATGTGAAAAACATTGCACCTTGACTAACCATAACATACATCACATATTGTACCATATCTTAACATTAAAAAACATTGAATCTTAAATAACCTTAACATGAAAGCTATCAAGTTAAGGTATATTAAGGTACCAAATACGGATATCAAAAGAGTAAAATGCCCCACCTTTACAAAAAGAAGAAGTGTGATCATCGTCGTTCGATCAAACACGATCAATGGTTGCAAAGTGGTTTTCATAGAAAAGGGGAGTTCTCACGACATACACACACACGCATATATATATAGGGTCGTAAATTGAATGGAAAGTCAAAATATGTTGACAACTGTTTTGGCCAAATTATCACTCAAGAACAAGATAAATATATAAATGTGCGAATAAAATGAAATTAATAAAGTAAAACAATAAAGTACACAACAGTAGACAACAACACTAGAAGTTAGTTACCTGGAAACCCCGAATGATGATTATTAATCCACTATTGTACATGTTAAAATATATCGGTAAGCTTTAGAAAATAGATGTGAAAATCCTCAATAAAACCTAAACATGTGCTAAAATAAGTATAGGAAGCTAATGCTCTTCAAGTAAAATGTTAATTACGGCTGTCTAAAGTTGTTAACACCCATTTTAGTGGGTGCATGAGTCTTTTTTTAATATTATTCTAATGACCACTGATTGGCAATCCATTGATTTAGGGAAACTTGATTCGAATCTCTCCAAGCTCGTGCTTCTTCTTGGAGTTGTTTCTTGACTCGGTCAATGTTCGGCTAATTTGCTTGGCACGTGTTGACTCCCTACAGGTGTTTGTTGGAGCGTCACTCTCTAATGTAATGGCTGTTTGTACATTTCATGTGTAATTGTTTTGTTGGGACACCCTTGGATACAAGCGTCAAACATTTGAGTTGATTGTAGCTGCGTCTATGGGAAAATGACCTCAATAGTTTGCACCCCAGTTAGATATTCTAAAAGAAACACATGAGAAGATCTTAATTCAATTCAAACTATATAAATCCAGAAGTGACATTTCACAAAAAAAATCAATGATTGATCTGCTAATTTAACTGGGACCCCAATTCGTTGCCTTAAAGTAACATACATTCACTTATTTCCTTCTCGTATGAACTAATCTTCACTCCAATAGCTTGTGTGAATGCAATTTTTGGTCCGGCGAGCAAGGAACATATACGTCTTTGAAAGTTGACAAATTTGAGGAGGCGAACATACCCTCGAGCACCGTTATGGACAATCTTGGAGCGTTCTAAATCAAGGCTCGGGATGGATGAATCGGGCACCGTGTCGATGGTAAATGGCAACCCTAATTCAAGGGTGATGTAATTTAAAAAAAAAAGTAAAAATAAAAAAGAGTAGTCAAAAGAAGAAAAATAAAGGCGTATGTTGGAAAAGAAAAAGAAAGGGTGCGATCTGAGACCGTGTTCTTGATTATAACACCCGTTTGATGGCCGCAAGGCCTTCTCTGCACTTCATCGCCTCCTCCATCAACATCACCAAATCCTCCCTTTCCCCATCGTCAACCCTACTTCTCCGTCGCATCGCTTCCGCCACCGCTCCACCGCAACAACATCATCACCGCAAACAAAAACACAAACACATATATCCTCCTCAAAAACCCCTCCCTCACCCACCTACACCTTCATTTAATAGCCTCCGGCCGACGTTGTCTCTGCAGGAAACCCTGGCGCAAAAGATCGGCAAAGCTATCCGCCGTCCCGGCGCGCCGTCCAAGGCTAGGGTTTATACCGATGTTAATGTTATCCGGCCTAAGGAGTACTGGGATTACGAGTCGTTGACCGTTCAATGGGGGTTAGCGATCTCTTGTGGCGTGCGCCATCGTTTCTGTGTCTTTTTTGTTGCTTATTGTTTTCTCATTTATGCGATCTTGATTATCTTACAGGGAACAGGACAATTATGAGGTGGTAAGGAAGGTTGGGAGGGGAAAATACRGCGAKGTTTTCGAGGGATTTCACTGTATTAATGASGAGAAGTGCATYATTAAAATACTCAAACCTGTTARGAAGAAGAAGGTTAGGACATTTCTTGATTGTATCCCCAATTTATTTTCTTAGATTATATACTCATGTTCCACATACTGCATGCGTACTTTCTACACATAAATACTGCAGAACATAGGTACTTTCTACACATTAATACTGCAGAACATAGATGAACTCATTAGATATTTAGCCTGCAGAGATTCTGTTAAGTGTTGATGGATTGCTTTAGTTTTGCTTTGCTCATGTTTCACCTGAGTGTTGGTTTTCTTCTGAGGTTATACACTTTGTTTCCTTTCGTCCAAAGAAGGGGATTTCCCTTTCACTAGGTGTGCATCAGTTCGTGCGCTGGAAGGAGGTCGTGGAGCCTGTATTTTTGTTAGCCTAAGATTAAAATCATAACGAAAGAAGCAACTTCATATGTCCGATTCCTTGGTTAACCTTGTTTGCATATAGCACAATACTTGTTAAAAGTTGGCTATATACTGCAAGCAGATCTTTTTAGCTAGTACTACTAATTTGAAATTTTACTGAACATCATTATAGAAATTAATTTGGTTTTCTAACCAATTAAAAGAACATTGTTGTTTTGAATAACAAAATCTGCTTATATGCCCAAAATGGTTCATGACTTCTATTTGATATGTTAGCCAGTAGGGTTATTTTGAGGCTTGCAAGTTTTGTGTTGCATGTACATCTCTGCCTAGCATGCCCATTATTTTGGTGGTTGTGTAGTGGGGTTGATAGCTCTTTGTATGTAGGATTGGATTCTTTTGGGGTTCCTGAAGTTTAAGTTCTCTCTCTCTCTCTCTCTCATGCGGGTTGTTGGAGCATGGCTCGACTCAAATCACTAAACTAGGAAAATATGTATTTATGATGGTCTGACAAGATTTAAAATGTAGGCAACACAAGCATTTATAACTTACAAGTAAAAGGAAAAGAAAAGAAAAGAAAAGAAAAGAAAAGAAAAAGAGAAGGATTTCAAGGCTGATTGTTACTATGTTCAACTCGTCACTAGAAATTTCCTAATTCCTTCCGTTATAGACGTGCATTTGCAAATGATATTGGTTAAAATGAGCCAGTAAAAGCTGTTATTTACAGAAGTTTACAACCTTGAATAAGAGGGTATACCTATCTGAAATATGCCTGGCTGTGCCTGTACATACTATTTTTTAAGCCACCTAGCTAGCATGTTCTGCTTAATTTCAAATGAAAACCATTTTACCCCAACAAAGGAAGGCTATATGGCACTATGGCAGACCTTAGTTTGATGCTGTCTAGACAGACTTTTCTTGTAGTTCCACAAATTACAATGATTCCTATGCATGCGTATTTGCACCACAGGATTGCTGAGCAGGTTTAACTATTTGGCTTGCAACAATTTCTGGCTTCAGGTGTCCCTCACCACACAGCATCATTAACTTGATGTTCCGGTTTGAGGTGGGGAGGCTTGCAGGATCGAAGCATGAAGGCTTTTAAGTATAACATGATACTGACTATGCTACAGATGTTTTATTGTCGTCTTTGAGCAATGTTCATCGACAAGTCATTGTGGATTTGATTTGTGGATTAAACATGGGCTTTTAGGGTTTGGGGGGGGGGGTTTCTAAGGTGTCCCCTGATTTAGAGTGGCAAGTGGAATTGTGGAATGAAGAGATCGCAACTGATGGTTTGCCGCTTGAAGCTTGTGATCATGTTGATGTAGAAGAATCTTTTGGGGATCCTTCAGGTGGGAAGGGATTGCTTCTCTTGTACCGGGTAGGGGAAACACCAACGAACTCCTGTGAATGGACATAAAACTTCGAGACAAATGTTTACAAATAAGGGCGGCCGCCTGATTCGCTCCAGATAGAAAGATTGAGGGGGTCAGACACAGCGGAGACTTTCCATATTCCACCTCACCATTAGCCACTTCATTAGGGTCCCCCGCTAAAAAGCTATGAACAGATCACTCCTAAAAGCAACCGTTCTCTTATTTTACGATAGCCTCGCCACTATGGGATGGACTTATTGCTCGGTTTCCTGGTCTTTAAAAGCATCCATTGTAGCTATGTTGTGGTCCATCACAAGGAGATCCCAGAGAGCCAGGAAACGTGATGTGTCTTATTGCTTGTTTTAAGATTTGGTTTCAAAAGCATAGGGGTGCTTTTGGTTTGTACTTCAGTACTTCTTGTTTTGGTCAAAGCAAGTGACCTTAAATGACACGAATGGATAAGCTGTAATCTCGTTACGTGATCTGGGCGCTTTGGGGAAGTTGATTATTTATACATGAGATTTCTTGTTTTCAGGAGCTGAAAGCGGCATGAAACTGCTAATAATCTAACATTGATTTCTATGCTTATCTCGTGCGAAGCCACATAGGTGGGAGGTTGGGGATTGCGTGGCTGGAAGGCTACCTTTGTCATGCTTTTGCGATCGTTCGTGGTTGGCAATTATGCAGGGAAGGGTAGAAGATACACGTAGGGGTAGATTTGGTTATGTCCTTGGGACCTCTAAGTGGTGAGTAGAGCTCTGCAATGAAAAGGAAGGGAGGAATATTTTGACATACTATGGTGTAATTATGGTGACAAAGATGTATTGGAATGTTATCTATAGACCTTTATGAGCCAGCTTTTCTGCTGGCGTAACTGAATGATGGCCTTGCATGCACACTCCTTTTTGCTTCTGCAGGTGTGTGGGTAGCCCAGCATGAGCGTCTTTTGGTATTTTGAACCAAATACTCTTTATTTGGTATCCTCAACCTGTTAATCATGTTTTGGCATATCTGCAATCCTAGCATTATAATTGCTTCCACAGAATAAAAAACAAATAATGGGCTTTATGATGTCTTAATAGTTAACAGAAAAGAAAACATGTATAGATGTTCTAGAAAAAATCCACTTGGGTTATTCATTTACATTGAAAGTTGCATATATTTTCTCTGGTCATTCTTTAAGTGTATTTGTACTTTTTATTTTTTCTCTTTTCATATTGCACTATTGAACAAACATACATTTTGGTTCATCGTGCTGTATCAAGAATGTTTTTTTTTTGTGACCCGATGATTCATGTATTATTGAATGCAGATCAAGAGGGAGATCAGAATCCTACAGAACCTTTGTGGTGGGCCAAATATCGTGAAATTGCTGGATATTGTTAGAGATCAGCAATCAAAGACACCAAGTTTAATATTTGAATATGTGAACAACACCGATTTCAAAGTGCTCTATCCGACACTTTCTGATGTTGACATCCGCTATTATATATATGAACTTTTGAAGGCAAGCATCGCTAGAACTTACTTTGTCATTTATTTGTTAACTGCAACACACATGAACTCTCTTTTTTATGTTTTTGATTGCCTCTTGCACATGATTGAAGCACGTAGTTGATATTGCCGGTTTCTTACATCATTGACATCTGAACCTGCTAAGCTAAGGCTGTGATCTAGATACGCCTTGAGATACTGGTTTCTTGGTCATAGAAACTGCAACTAGATGTGGTGCTATGCCCAGGGAGGCAAAAAGTTGCTATCACTTATGATTATAACCTTTTGTTTTTCACCATGGCTAAAAGCTATGTTACTTGTTTAGTCTTTGTATTTTTATTTGAAAATTTCTATATCTATATCTATACTATACAAGTATGTATTTAATCTAAAATATATGCATGTTGGATTTGGAATTTCACCCTCAAACCTTTTCTTTAAGATAAGAAAATGTATTACCCTTTATCAACTACCATCTGCTTTTGGTTGCTTTTATATGTGATATGGGCACATGAAAGCAGTACCTTGAGTTGCTAATAATTGATTTGTGGGGGTTGGGTTGGGTTTGTAAGCTATTTGAGTTTTTGGTATGTGAGTGATCTGAACATGTCAATGTAGCAGGCCTTGCAAATTTAGTGAAGGTCTTCAGTTTACGCCTGGGAGGGGAAACTGGTGTGTCATGCTCAACGGGCAGCGATATAGATTTCCGATGTGGGGCTGTATTGTACATATGATCAAGTTGACATACATTAAATTTTATCGTACTAAATCAACATTTACTAAAAGTTAAATGGCCCGAACCCGAATGTTGGTCTTGTGGTTGAAGGATGTCTTAGGTAATGCTTATGTAAAATAGAGCGTTTGGTCCCCTTCTTTTTTTTAAATATGAATTTACCGATGAGCAATTACTCACAGGACCTCATTCTCATTCACCTGAAAAATTAATGACATGATACATGGTTACCGGTGGTGTTCATGAATCATGAATAGGGATGGAAATAAGGCAGGTAGTGGATGGGTAATGCATCCCCCAAACCCGATCATGACCCCAATCTCTGTTTAACTTTAAGCCCCCCGTCCCCACCTCTGCCCTGCCCCTGGCTAATCCCTGACAGGTTCAGGGAACCGTATGACTGCCGGTTTAGTAGAAAAAAATAGTATATTCTAAAATAAAATTAAAAATAATTAATTACCAATATTGAAAATCAAATATATTTGTTATATAGTAACAAAGATACACACACACACACATATATATTTATATATATACATATTTAACAAAATAAAAAAATTAGTCAGGGTCGAATTAGGTGCGCGTAATGCCATCCCCGACCCCTTTCGGGTTAAACTCCCATTACCCGCCAAAGCCGGGAATCCCCACCTCGTTATTGTCGGGTACCTGCAGTTAGGCATCTCCATGGGAAAATTTTCCATCCCTAATCATGAGGGAAATGGTTGGTTAAAGTTTAAGATTGCTTCTGGTTGGAAATGAAACTAAGGTGGTGATTGTGTAGCTTTATTTTGTATTGGTGTTAGTGTAAGGTTGGACTGTTAATAGGATCTCAATTGATGGATTAAGTATATGTTGGCCATGATGTCAATAACTCAATAAGTTATGAAGAACACCAACATATCAGCATCCTACAGCTGATTGACAGTGTGCAACCTTTAAAAATTTCAAATGGTCTGCACAAATGATTAGTGATCCCTGTCACCCTAACCCACCTAGTAAACTTAGCAAGCTTTTTGAATCAGCTATTTTGTCCTTTCAGCGAATACCTTATAGTAGCCTACTGAAACCACATTGCCATCTATGGTAAGACCTGAAAGAAACTTATGCTCAAGTATTAGTTATTCATCATGAGAAATTCTATTAAAACATTCAGAGAAGTGCAGCACGTGGCATTCGTTGGATTTATGGTTTTTTTAGGTTGTAGTTATAGCAGATGTAGAAAAAGTTGAAATGGATGACTTGGACCCTCTAATCTTCATGAAGGAAGAAATTTTCATGGAAGAACTACTTATAGAGGTGCATAAGAGGGGTTAGTGTCATTATGGCTTCTGTCAATGACATCATGATTCATGTGACAGGAGGATTTACACGGTGCAAGGCAATAAGTTGGGCCTCTCTAGTGTCTAGAGGTAAAAGAATACTGTTAAATCATTTGATTGGAAGATGGACTGTCAAAAGCTAGGGTTTTAATAGATAGCGCCTTTAGAGACTGTTCTACCCAGAGATTTTCCTCGTATCCTTTGACGTCTAGTGCTAAGCTGTCAAAATCATGGCACTTACTATCTCTTTTCATTCAATTGGTGTTTATTTTACTTGGTCGAACTTAAGTATTTAGTTGTTTGTGCCACTCTAGGGCAAATTTTATTTGGTTTCTTAGTCTATTTATAGGCTAGTTTATATTAGAGAGTTAGCTCTCTAAAGAGAGGTTCCTCAAAATCCTAGTTCTCTTGCAGTAATTTTTGGCATTTTCTTACCCTAATTGTTCATCACAAAGTTTTGGAGCTGTAGTTGCAAGGGTTTGTTACAGGTTCATTTACACTGCTATATTGCATTATTGATAATTGACATCTCTCATTACCTTGTTTCACTAGTCATCGAATTGTCCCCCCGCCTCTATGTTTATTGCTTGCGCCCCTATGGGTTTCTACTTAAGCCTTTACTCATTTGTTTCCTTGATTTTTTATATGCAAGTAATTTTCCATCTTTCATTCATGGTTTTTTGTTTTTATTTTTTAGAAGTATTAGATCCAATCTGTTTCTAATATACCTTTTTGACTGTGTTTAGGCTTTAGATTACTGTCACTCTCAGGGAATCATGCATCGAGATGTGAAACCCCACAATGTGATGATTGATCATGAAAAGCGCAAGCTTCGTCTTATAGATTGGGGCCTTGCGGAGTTTTATCATCCAGGGAAAGAGTATAATGTTCGTGTAGCTTCTAGGTGTGTATCTTGCTCCTTTGATCGGATGAAATTCTTATGTCACCTGTTGTATGGTATTCATGGTAGCAATGAACTTCTTTCCAGCTGTTTTTTTATTAATCATAAGTTTTTGTGCCGGGACGATTAACGCAAAACATTGATTCTTTTGACTTGTAGATAGATTTCTATCACAGTATATCATGATTTGAAATATGTTTGCTAGCACACTTAAATAGTCCATATCCATGCCATGTTTAATGGTAAGTAATGCCTCTATTGGAAATGGGAACTCAATTTCGAAGCACAATGAAGATGAAGTGGGAACTTGAGGAGAAAAGTCTGAAGCACAATCTATTATAGGGTACCTTGGATAGTTTTAGATGCATAACAGGTGTGGAAAAGATTCATGTATCAAGGAATTAGAGCATGTGTCAAATAGAGTAGAATTTTATAATAACAAGTTTACAACGATGGAGGAACCCTTTAACAGCCATTTATTTCAACATTCTGATGCAGCGACCTTAACTGAGCAAGTTCTTTTAGGATACCGTCTGTAAATGCCATGTGGATATATTTTTGTGATTCTGACCCGCACTTATGAGAGTCTTTTCCACTTCTAGTCATCCTAGATTTATAGAAAGCTTATTTATGTTGTACTGATACAACAGACTTGTTCATGTGACTGGTGACAGCAATGTTGTAATTCAAGAGAAATGATGAGAATCCATTATGTGTGCTAGATGAGGTTTTTTTTTTGTTTTTTTTGGTGGGGAGTGATTTCTATACATTCATTTCATCTTTTTTAGTGGAATAAATCCACCTCTCTACTCACTTTTATTCTTCTGAGTGCAGATATTTTAAAGGTCCAGAACTCCTTGTTGATTTGCAAGATTATGATTATTCATTGGACTTGTGGAGCCTTGGCTGCATGTTCGCAGGAATGGTGATTGATTATATTTTCCCAGCCTTTGTTTTTTCATGATGGTCTTTTATTACATACAGTTTGGTTCTTTTGTTGTATATGTGACACCTCTTCTCTATCAATCCTTGAGTCTATGATCAACTGGTTTTTACCACTTAATTTAGATGATCTTTCAGTATAAGGAAAAACTAATGCATGGGTGCTAGCATTATATAACTTGATCTCTATCATTTATCATGGTTATTTTGTACAGATATTCCGCAAGGAACCATTCTTTTACGGACATGACAATTATGATCAGCTGGTGAAAATTGCCAAGGTACGGGTAGTGTTTCAGAATGGATGCTTATATAATAATGCTGTCTCCAGTAGATCCCATATGTTGTGTATGAAATTATTCAAGCATGTTGATGGATGTAGTATGTTTCTTTTGCTGTCTGGATAGGTTTTGGGGACGGATGAGCTAAATACATATCTACAGAGGTATCGTTTAGAGCTAGACCCACATCTGGCTGCCCTTGTTGGAAGGTTGGTAACCAAATGGTGATAAAAGTTTTTAGCATCATTTATTAATCAACAATTCTAATCAGCAATCATACGAATGCAGGCATAGCAGGAAAGCGTGGACAAAGTTCATTAATTCTGATAACCAACATTTAGCTGTTCCTGAGGTAAAAATCTTTTGACAAATTCATTTCAAGTTATATTGTATGGTGTTGTATTATAATAGGTGTTTGGTTGAGTAGGCAATTGACTTCCTTGACAAGTTGCTTCGGTATGATCATCAAGAAAGGCCAACTGCTAAAGAAGCAATGGTAAGTTTCTTTCTTTCTTTCATTTATAGCACATATATATATATATATATATATATATATATATATTGATGATTTAAAGTATGAAAATGGAGAGATTGTTGTTGTGTAGGCACATCCATATTTCTATCCGATAAGAAACGCAGAAAGCAGCAGGACCCACCGTGCATAGATGAATGCAATTGCAGTTGAAGTTGAAATTCATAATATTGTACGTCCTTTTCCCTTGTCAGTGTTATTGAATATGGCTCCATTTCTCTCTTTTATTATGTTTTTGTTTTTGTTGTTTTACGTTGAAAACGTGGGTTGTCGTTTGTGTGTGTGTTTGATTGTAAAACTAACATTTCCTTCAAGAATTGGTTCATGTGGTTCTAGTTTTGGGAATGGAATCAGCATTCAAGTCTAGTACTGTTGTTAAAATGCTTTTCTTTTTTAAATAATTTTCTAAATCTCAATTTCTATCATCAGAGGCAGCTAGGTAGGTATGCTTGAGCTTGAATATATATTTTTAAACTAGCACTCGAGGTTGAGCGAGTCGAGTCAGACATTTGCTCAACTGGTTAACTTTTATTTTATATTTAAAATCAACTGGAGCTTGAATAGCTTAAATGCTTGGATTTTTTACTCCCGGTATGTGAGTGTCCTGTTTGTTATGTTTATATTTGTAATAAAAACGAGAGCTTGAATGAATTTTAGAAACTCATATACCTGCACCTGTGAGTTGTGACTGGTGATGGGGAGGGAGAATCCTCGAATTTATAGATGGGGATGGAGATCCCTTTCATCCCTGATCCTGAACCCAACCCTGTTCGTTAATTGTACGTTTCTATGTAATTTATAGACGGGGGATGGGAATGAAATCTTATTTTCCAATGGGGTTGGGGATTGCGATTCCGGATACCCCCGACCCTGTTGGCATCTCTACATTGGGCACCTTTTGCAACCCAAACCCATAACCGTCGATTAAATACTGTTGTTTTTTTAGCTGGATTGTTTCGGATTGGTCCAGAAGCTACTGGAAGAAGTGGTGCAATTGAAAAGGGATGTGGTTGAAAAATGTTTTAGATGGAGATGAGCTACAGGTTATGCAAAGGGATTGTCCACATTCAGTGGATGGGATTACTTATTTCTATCACAAAGTTTCAGTTTTATATTTAATATCATGAAATGATTGGAGTTTTGAGGAGGTCCGCTCTTATTGTTGAAGTCAGATTCAATTCCATACCAATCCACTTAACTCCACATCAACTTAGAATCTGTAAATTATTTGAATTTATAATAAACTCACAACATACGAATATTTGATTGATGTGTCATCCAAATCGGCTTCTCGTTGAATCACTTTTATCTGAGTGATTGCTTGAGATAAGTCATCGAAATTGGCTAAGCTGAGGGTGAATCTAAAAATTGAGTTGATCTTGCTTGTTACATTGATTACAAATTGAAGTCAATAAGTTCAACTGTTCCATGTCTTACAAATACAAAAGAACATATTTTATCAAGTGTTTGGACCGGATACGTAGCAGCATTAAACCCAATTCAAATACATGACGATATTTGAATTCTGATTTTTAATTAAATACCTAATAAAAGATACAAAATTTTCATTTAAATATCTAATTTAAAATACAGTTTAAAGGTTTAGTAATAAAAATATCATATATATTTTTAATAAAAATCATTTAATAGACCACAGAATAATTATATATTAATTTCATGGTGCCAATAATTCAAAAATGCATGCACGCAACAAGAAGGTGATGGTTTTGGTCTAAAAGTTCACTATATATATGATTTTATAAATACGTAATTACTATATTTTTTAATCAACAAAAAGAATGGTTTTATCTTTAATTATAGGGGGATAAATTCATAATTAAGAATAAAACCTTACTTTTAAAATTAAACGTTTATTTTGAAAGAAATTAAAACAATAAAATATATACTTATTTTGGGCACAGATGCAAAATAAAGGTAATAAATATTTTTTAAATTAAAAAATGAGATGAAATATTTTTTATGTAATAAATAAGGCCGAATACTTTAAATGAATTATTTTATTATAATAATACAAAAAATATAACTCTACTCTAATAATACCATAAAAGACAAAGTTGGGAGTGGTCCTATTTAACAAATGAAATTATTGTATCCAATATCAATAACATATATATATATATATATATATATATATTTTTAAATCTTAACAATTATATCAATCTTTAAGGTTGTGTTTGGTATATGAGACAAGACATGATAAAACAGGACGAGACAAACTTCACAGCCCCACGTTTGGTACAACGTGGATTGAGAAAATAATTGGGACAATGTGAGATAACATGAGACAAAAAAAAGCATTTTCTTGTTCCACCTATTTGATGAGACAAGATTGAGATATAAATTACAATATTACTAATTAATCCTTGTTTGACATATAACCTTTAATATGATATCTGTTTTAGTTGTCACCATCGTTAGTCGCGGTCGACGCTGCCATCGGTAACTACCGTTGGTCACCTCCACCACCTCCATAACCACTGACCACCACCGTCCATCATCACCATCATCACCATCGTTGGCCACTTTTGCCTTCTCCTCTACTACAACCACCTCCTCCACCACCTCCACAGCTCCACAACCATCGTTGGCTATCGTTCATCGCCACCCATTACCACCATGGGGCACCTCACTTCCGCCGTTGGTTACCACTACCATTATCTACCATCTTCACGTCCTCCACAACCATTGTCGGCCATCGACCACCACCATCCATCTCCACCACCACTAGTGTTGTCGACCACCACCACCTCCACCATAACAAACACCACCTTGCCAATTGATAAGGATCAATTATACAAATCGGATTTTTTCAAACCACCATCAATTATATTACTTTTCATTCAAATTTGGTATTATCATATACATGTATTTATATATATGAAAATTGTAAATAAATTATTTAATTATATACTTTATCTGTGTTAACTATAACTATTATATATATATATATATATATATATATATATATAAACATCAAATAACTTTTGGGACAACTAGTCTAGTTCTGTCATGTCTAGTCTTAGTCGTACGAAACACCAGATTGACATTTGTTCTGTCTAGTTATGTCTCGTCTAGTCCTACCCTCTTGTGATGTCCACTTATGTCATCTCCAGTCCAATCCAATAATGTCTGCGTACCAAACACTATCTAACAAGTCCAGATAAAATTTACACCCTTCATTACATATTGGATAATTCTTGTAAAAAAAAAAAAATTTGCAGGTGAAATAACATGTTATATCAATTACTAAGACATTGTATAACGCATAATTTAGAGAGATAAGGACCATAACTAAATCTTTACTAAAACGTGACATTTTTTGGGGTCATCCGATTAGATGATCAAATCATGAGGTTACTATATTTAATTGTGTTTGTGGATGAACTTAGGGGTGAACATGAGTCTATATCATGGATTATTTCATATTAGAAGGGTACTCGTGCAATGCAACGAGATACATCTCGATTTTAATGTTATATTTTATTTTTTATTTATGTCGATGTTATAATACGATTTTATGTGTTTTTAAGAAAGCAATAATGATTTTATTTTTCAATAAAATATAAATTTGAAGATATCATAAAAATTTGAAAAAAATATATCAATATTAATATCAAATCAACTATTTAAAAGTTCTCATTTTTTATGTAATTTTTTAATTTATTTACTTTATTATAATTTAATTTAAGTTTACTAATGAAATAATTTATTTTTGGTTATGTTAGAACTTAATAATTATCTTAATTATATATTTTATATTTTTTATATTTAAAATAAGATGTTTATCTTGTATTTGATTATGTTTATCTGCAGTTAGTTACATAAATTCAGATATGGAGCTTTAATAAGTTGTACTTATGCATAATCTACTTGTAAACTTGAGTTTTAAGTAACATGCATTAATAAACAACACTTTATGCATAAAAAGTGGCTTTGAAGAGTTTTTTGTCAAATACTTTATAATATAGTATAGATATTATGTACCAACTAATTATAATTGGTATGCAAAATTTTATACCATGTACCGACTAATTATACTTAATACCAATTAATTTGGTATCAAATTTTTTCGGTTGGTACATGTTGGTACGGTATTGTACCAACATTACAAAAATTGAAGTTATAAATTCATTTAAAATGACATCTTTACCAACTAGATCTATATATGTACTAGAACTATCGACCATTCATATAACATGTTGGTATGTGTTTTATCACTTATCACTACATTTACAAGCATTCAAATAACTTTCGTATAAATGATTATAATACAAACATTTACTAATAGTTGACTACAAGCGACAATTGAGGAGCTTCGATTGACTGTGGAGGTGTAGACGAGTTACTAAGGTTATCATGTTAGTCAAATGGATTCAATCAATTCTATATATTATAACTTAGAAAAATTTAAAACAAGATAAGTTAAAATTTAAAATCAAAATTTGTTACATTACTAATTAAACTTTAATTAATAAATAAATAAGTCAGTATGGTACAAGACTTCTAATATCATGTTCCAACCAAGTTTAGATAGTTGGTACGGTATTACCAACCAATCAGATTGTTACCAACTAAATTAGTACTGTAATTAGTTGGTTTGTTTTAATATAAAATTGACACCCTAGATTACTCTTGGACTTTCAAAACATGGATTATGTTATGATCAAGAAATTAATATTTTTTTAAACAATGAACTGATAAGATCATGAATTTACCCTTCGTATGTGACTGGTTGAATTGTATCAAATAGTTTCATGTTGTACTTTAGTTGGTTTTAGTTTTAGTTTTAGTTTTAATATATATATATATATATATATATATATATAT